AATCTTTAAAAAAAAAAAAAAGTGAATCCTAAAAGGTTATATACTGAATGATTCCATTTATCCAATATTCTTGAAATGACAAAATTATAGAAATGGAGAACAGAAATGGTTACCAGGGGCTATGGAGGGGGAAGGGGCAAAAGAGAAGTGACTGTGGCTATGAAAGGGCAACATGAGAGGTTCCTGTAGAGATGGAAATCTTGACCATATATTAATGTCAATATCCTGGTAGTGATATTGTACTATTGTTTTATGGGATACTACAATTGGAGAAAGAGGATATCATCTGCATTATTTATACAACACCATGTAAAATCAACAATTGTCTTAAAAATACTAAGTTTAATTTTACAAAAGAGATCACTCTGCTGAAAATTTGAAGGTGTGTTGACATGGAGTTAAAGGACTTCCATCTCATGGCTTCAGTTTCCTTGCTAAGAGTAAGCGGTAGACAGCGTGAGAAGAGCAAAGAACATTTGAAACAATTATTAGGAGCACTGAGTATTTGATTAGAAAAATACTCAAGAATTCCTAGGCAGTGCTGAAGGGCCTTCCTTATCTTTATATCACTGATCTGCCTCCTTCCTTCTCATCATTCAGGTCTCAGGCTAATTATCACCTCCTTGGAGAAGCTTTCTCTGACCATCCAAGCTAAAGTATCGATAGATGCTTTCCTTTTTTATCCTGAGAGAAACATGTTCTTTTTCCCTCAGAGATTCTATCACAAGTTGTAATTCTATATATGATTGTTTGCTTCTTAATTATGTCTCCCACTGGACTATACACTCCATGAGAGCAAGATTCATGTTGTACTCAATACTGTACACTCAATACCTGATAGTGCTTGGCATTCAAGAGGTATTCTATAATGTTCTTCTCTGGAACTTCCTTCTTATACATTTTACTTCTATTGGGCTTCTTCTGCACTCACTAGTAACTCCTTTCACACATACGTTAAGGATCTTCTGTTAAGGATCCTTGTAAAAAAACTAAAATGGCAACAGATCTTGAGTTAAGATCAATTTTTGCCTGGTTTATACCACAAAATAAATTTATTAATATTTTTAAATGTTAGTTTTGTTTTTTACAATTGAAACTTCAGACTCCTCAGTTAAGACTGATTTTAATCTTATAGTGACTATCAGAGTGCCTTACAAACTTTGCTCTCAAATTTTGATATTATATAATACATTTAGTAAAATGGGTTAATCCTGGCCTCTTTGGGTCTACATTAAATCAATTTTTCTAATAACTAAGTTTAAGTGTCTACATTTGATACTAATGGAAATAAGAGAGCAAGGAATTAAAAATACGAGAGAATGAGATTAGAAATCAGTCCTGTATTTGAGTCCTGGTTCCACTAGTTATCTGCTATTTGAAACGAGACAAGTTACTCCACAAGTCTAAGATTCCTTATCTGCAAAATGTGAATAGTTATATCTCCCTTACAGGGATGCTGTAAAGATAAAATAAGACACTATATATAAAAAGTATTTTGCAAATTTAAAGCACTATACAAACGTCATTAACTATATCAGAAGGAAATCTTTCTAGATCTTTTCCTTCTTTCAAAAATAAACATACCAAAGAATCATCTATCTTTTTCCATGACCAATAATTGTACTTGCTACAATGTATTTAAGCTAAATCTTCCTTTACTGTCTATGATCTGCTGGGGTTGTTAGTTGGCAGCCTGACCCCTTCAGATTATCAATTCTTAATTTACTGTGGTCCAAGAACAAAGGTAATTAGAACTGTGTATATTTAAGAACCAGTATGTTCTAAATGAGGGTTCCTCAAGGGCTTCTTTCAAGGAGTACAGACGCCTTGACGCAAGGATTTTGCCCAAAAGCATTTTTTATTTCTTTCTGGTTTAGGCTATAGATAGCTAACATGACCAGCAATGTGACCTGCAGATAAGTGGGGTAACTAGTCTGGGAGTATAAACCCTCAGTCATTTAAAATGTCTATTTGGCTGTTCCAGGATGTAATCCATAATGCTTCAAAAGGTTTCAATTTAATCCAAACATGAACACGTGAAGATGTATCAATTTAGGTTAGGTAAACAGTATAACACAGATGCATTACCATTAGATGACAAAATTCTTATTGTAATTCCTAGCTCTTACATGCACATTTCCTGGAAAATGTTTAGCACTGAGACAGATAGAATGAGTAGAATCAGCAAACATTATGGCAAGAGAATAATAAATCCAATAAGTAAAACTCTTTAGCATCCAGTTTATTTTCATAAAGGCTGTTACCAATATTATTAAGCCTTTGAATTGGGTAAGTAAATAAAAATTTTTTTTTTTTTAAAGATTGGGGAATTGGGAGAGGGGAACAGTGCTGGGGAATCGGGGGAAGGAGAACAAACAAGTTGCTGTCGTTTGTTCTTCAGTCTAGTTGTGGAGGACGTCGCTTCACTGGCCCATGTTGATATCATTGCACTCTTCCTGGGTGAGGCAGATCGCTCTCCGGCCTCTGGACGGCCGCTCACAGCGGCTCTTGGCAGCTCACACCGGCTGCCAGCCGCTCACGCTGGCTGCCAGCCACACATGGTAGCTTATGGCAGCCCACTGCAACAGGGGCTGCAGCCTACACTGTCGCCGGCAACTCACAGCAGCCCAGCTCCAGGTCAAGCTGTTGTTCACCACCTTAGCTGTAGAGGGCGCAGTGTCACTGGCCCCCATGTGGGATCCAAACCCGTGCCCTGCTGCTGCTCAGAGCTGGCGTCCCAAGCCAGCTCTTAACCAACGTATCACTCGGCTGGCCCCCTAAATAAAAAATTCTTTTTTTTTTTTTTTTTTTTTT